TGCGTGTGCGTGTGCGTGTGCGTGTGCGTGTGCGTGTGTGTGTGTGTGTGTGATTGACTTCCAAATAGCTGCTTCTAGATGATTCTAGAAAAAAATAGCAACAGATACACAAAAGAGAAATGCTTCCCACTTGTTTTAAAATACACACAGAGGAACCTTTCTGTGTGTTTAAGTAAGGTGAAATATGTCCATATTTTGGTAACCCATTGGTTTTTAAACAGTGGCACAACTTCACAATGATTACACCTTGAACCCTCACATCAWCATCCACGTATGGGTGTGCAACGACAGTAGTGGTCGCTCATTGCATATTTTACTAAAACTGTCAAAAGAAATGAAACTATATTCAAAACTTAGTTTTAAAAATAGCAACTTTTTTGGGGGGGGTTATTAAGGATAATTATATATTTGAATCAATAAACTTCAGTGTCACAAGTCTCTGACGCTGTTGTACGTGTGACAGAAGCTGAAAAAGATTAGGAACCACTGTTCTGCAGTTTAGAATGACAGTTAAAACCACGAAAAGTGACATTATGTTGGAAACTTCCCTAATTACAGTCACACGTGACCAGTTTGACAGAAGGGAACCGTTTCGTGCAGACACGCTTTATCCTTCCGCCAGAATCACACGAGAGCAACGTTATTTTTACTTTTTAAATAACCACAAATATGACTGGGTGGTTAACCGCGTCTAACATTAATAGTTGAACTCCTGTTTGTTCATTCTGACTTCGCTGGTTTTAGTTAATCGCYGGAACTATATACAGTAACGGCGGAGGAATATCTGTTGTAAAATCCCAGCCTGCTCTAGCTTCTTTTTTTCCTTCGGTTGGAGGCCATGACGGGAGCCTGGGAGTTCAGCTGGAGCCCGAAAAGAAGATGATTCCCCGGGACGAAACTGTCAAATCAGCCCGTGCAGACGTCTGATCTTTGTCTAATCTATATACAGCCTGGGTGGAGTCTGTCACTTTTTTGTTGTTACTTTTTAATTCGTTTCAAATGTGTTCTTGGCGATCAGTCGATGGCAATGTTGAATTGTTAGGAGGTTTTTGGATCGAAAAAGGAGGCTAGCACGGCTAATGCTACGTCTTATTAGAGACTGGGTTCTGGAGAGCCGGTGAGTTCTCGCCAACCAACCCTTTCGCTGTCAGTTGCGACAGCCGTCTTCGAGCCACCGCTTCGTCCGACATCGTGAAAGCCGCTCGGAAGGGTCGCTGCATGTATTTTATTCGGGGGAGTTCTTGGCGAAACGAGTCGCAGGATTGGGGAAAGTCGGGCCTGCGCGGAGGAGGAGCGGAGCAAGGCCCGTCTTTATGATCCAGAGAAAGCCTTTTCTAATCCTACATCCACCGACAGCCACTGGCTAGCTCTGCGGGCTAGCACGCGTCTCTGCGAGGGACCTGCAAAAGACTACGAAACACTTCTGGGAAAGAGAGGGGAGGAGAGAAAAAAAAAACTCATTCGTTTTCATCGCTTATCCCATATGGCTACAATGACTGCGAAAATAAAGGAAATTGTCAGTCGGAACAAAAGGAGGTACCAGGAGGATGGTTTCGACTTGGACTTAACATGTATCCTTTCCTTGTGGTTTGTGTTCTCTCTCTCTCTTTTTTTTTTTTTTAAATTGGACCAGCTTTTCATGTCGTGGTTTCATCGATCAGTCAGTGGAGCTTGATCCAGAAATGTCAGCGGAGGAACGTGAGGTTGGTCGGCGTGTTTGAAAGATGGTGGATCTGTCAAAGCAGCAGGCAGAAATGTCACAGCAACAGTGCTAACAGATACGTAAAAGTGGACACTAGGTGCATGTGATTCACCATGGACTGGTCATTTAACTTGCACACTAACCATCCCGTAGTAAACTATAATGAAATTATTCGTGGTATGTTTAAAAGGAAAGCCTCCAAAATCAGACTGTGTCCAATTATAGCCACAAATTGGGAGGTTGAGTGATTTCATTAAACCCTTTTATTTAAAAAAAAGGTATGACTAAATGTATAACTTGACAGACAAGTAAGATCTGCCATTTCAGGTCACTGCAATTGGTTGTGGTTGACCTGGTTCATAGTTTTATATTCCTGAGACTAAAGCTGGAGACTYGTGCTTATTTAGCTGGTGATAAACTAGATCAGCAACTGATGTGGTGTTCAGTGGCCAACTGAATGCATAATTTAATGWGTGACAGGGCTGAGGGCAGGTCATGGTGGGTGGAGTTGGGGTGAACTCCTGACTTGGTGTCAGGATGCCAACACACACTTTTGACTCCTGTGATTTAAAAAAAAAAAGGGTTCTCTGGTGGTCAATTAGTAGCTGAGCCAGTTTGGGTTKAAATAATGTGCTTTTTAAAGTTTTTTTGTAAATGATTATGTAAATTAAATTTATTTCTTACATTTTGGTTTATTTTCACAGTAAAAGATGAATATTTGGGTTAGCTTAAAGGCATTTTCTAGGTCATTTTTGACCAAATTTTAAATCTGAAACTAAAACTAAATGGGGAAGTGTTCAGCAGATTAATCACATGCAGCCATTCAAGCTGCATGCAACTTACAATAATAATAATAATAATAATAATAATAATAACACAGATTGCTTTAGGTACTGTTAACTGGAGATAAACGTTTTCCGCTCTGTCTATATGTAGATTCTACCTTCAGCTGTGATCTGCATGTGTGTGATTGTACATCACAGTAATGGGTCAGAGGATTTTTCACCTGGGTTTTAAAATGTGGTAAATCTAAAGTTATGTTTGATTATTATTATTATTATTATTATTATTATTTTGATAGCAGGATTCTGGTGCACCTCCTCACCTTCATGCAGGTGTGAAAGGCTCCACTTAAAAGGGACGTCTGCCTTCGGCTTGAGGTCTTCTCCTGATTAGACACGGGGCCCTTTTTCAAACTCACTGGTTTTTATCATTTTTGGCACGGTGTCTAAAAACAATACGGTCTCTCTTGCAGTTATGTAATGCAGCATCACGGTTCTGGGAATTGCCCTTAAAATAGAGTAACCAGTGATCTTGTAACAGTGTCTCTGCTCTTGCCCTTGCTCTCCCTTACCCTCTCAACCCACCACCTCTCCAGTCCAGTTTTTATTTTCCTCTTTTTCTTACTACTCCCCACTCTTTAGTTCTCCCTCCCTCAGATTGCCCCCTCTTTCCTGTGCTCTCCTCCTTTCCTGTCCTCCCCACCTCCTCCTCACTTAGCTCTTTGCTGGTTCCAGCTCTCTTCCACCTCCCCTCCATTTTTTTTAACTCAAACTTTTGGGTTTAGTGTAGGCAGAGAGCTCAGGCAAAGATTGCTGTATAGAAAAGACATGCCCAAAGCAGCTTAGTCTGTTCCCCACCTTACTGGAGCTTCTGTCAGGGGTCCGGCATGCATCTTTTTCCCAGCTGCAGAGCTGAAGCTCTCCAAGGGAGTTTTTCTGATTTTCTTTTTGAACACTAAAGGTTAAAGTATTGCTCAAATAGTTGCGTTTGGTTCTTAATTAGGTCGTTAATGTTTAAGATTATGRCACACTAGACACCTTTGGTTGAGATTTATGGAAGTAGCTTGCTATCATGGATTTGCTGTAGCAGGGTTCCTGCAGGTCCTTTAAAAAGTCTTAAAAGGCATTGAATTTGTCAATCCAAAATAAGGCCTTAATTAGCCTTAAAAATGTCTTAAATAAATCTTTCATAGGTCTTCAAAATGTTAACACGTACGTAGGATGACTACTTTGTCTCAAAAATTACAATAATTGGTAACATTTTTTTAAATACTTGACCGAATGCCTCTTAAAGCTCATTTTGTTTTAAAATAAATATTTGGCTAAAATGTTGCCAACTGGGTTTTTTTCCATTTGTGTTTATTGCGAAGTTGGTCTTAAATTTAATTTCAAGTGGCATTTATTAGGTCTTAAAAAGTCTTAAATTTGACTTGAACCCTGTGTAGGGCGTTTTGAATTCATCCACTACTTGCAACATTAGGGGATTTTGATATTTGCTTTCACTTAGTGTATATATATAT